AGTTTGCGCAGGGATTTGGTGGCTATATTTGAACGCTGCCCGATTCTCCTAGGCAGCTACTACTGGAAGAGATCACCTCAGGAAGGGGCCGCCAGCACGCTCAGCCACTGGGCTACGTTTGCGTTTCATGATCAAAGAATTCTTTCAGATCACCGAACGGGACCGTTTTGCCAAGGCTTTACTTTCTTCTAAGCCCTTTCCGTGAAGGCAAACTCCTGAAAGTGTTACCCCGATGAAAACAAGCGCTCGGTAGCACTGCTTTGTGTTCCCGGTGCCATTCCAAAAAGCCTTCCCATACGACTCGCCCTTTCCAGCCCATTTTACACCAGTACTTCCCCCTCAAACCTGGTGAGTCCCAGAGCTTGAAACACATTGCTCCTCTCCCTCCTTCCCCACTCCTCTACCAGAGCCAGCAGCGGCGGCCCCGTCAGCGAGGGAAAAGCACCGAAACAGCAGCGCTCGGGGTTTACAGGCAAAAAACAACCCCTTTGCTCGCGCTCCTCTTCACGGGCTGGGATTTGAAAGGAAACCTGACCTCAGAGTTGAGAAAGCTTCCAGGTCGAGTTTCAGCTCCAAGCTATTCCAGCTCAGCCTTCCAGACACCGGCATAGCCGAAGAGATGGCAGTTGTTCCAGCACAGGTATTTCCCCCGCCTCGGAGAGCCCTCGGAGCTCGGAGGGACCGCATCTCCTCCTCGCAAGCGCAGGGAAGCGTGCAAGCACGCCAGCCAAGCCCGCCACCGAAGTAACTCGCACGCTCCACCAGGCTCGGTGGCAGAGGCAGCTGCTAACTCTACCGTCCCACCAGAAAAGAGCTTCCTAAAGCCGACAAACTGCCCTCAGTCACTTCACGGCAGTAGAAACGGGTGCAAACCGCCGTTTAGCGAAGCACAAGTTTGTCAAGCTTAGCACCCTCTTCCATCATCCACAAACCACGCGTGAAACCCAGCCTCGGCCCAGCCTCGGCCCTGTCCATGTTGAACAGGACTTCCCGACAAAATTGGCGTGCCTTCTGCCGTTCTGCAGAAAAACCAACTACTCCCGTGCAAAAGACGGTCTTCGCTTCGGTATTTCGCGAACGTCAGACTTAGCGCCGCTCAAAAGACACCTTGACTCAAGGAGGAAGGCTGAAAACAGGAAGGCGAGCGGTAGCTGCAGGAGCGATCTCCGCTCCGGAGGATCGGTCTCCCGCATTTGAAGCGTCCGAACCGATCGCCCCCGCTTCTATCGGCAAAGTTCCGCTTTGTGACGGGGAAAACGATGGCCGAGCCCCGCAGAAAACAACAGCGGCTGAAGTGCAGGTCAGGTTGTAGCACCGAGCACTTGAAGGCGCGGAAACAGACATCAGTTTATGCAAGACAGGCAAACGTAACCCAATTCTGAAAAGAACTGTCCGGGAGGTGTTAAGTAACTGATTTTTAAATAGCCCCTGAAACGAATTCTACTTAGTTACCTCGGCAAAAAGCCAGAGTTTCAACAAACAAAAGTAACTCTGGATTCAGACTGGCGTTTCAATATGAGGCAACTCTCGAAATTTACGGGAGGGCAACGAAAGCGCGCAAGCCAAAACCTCCGTCGCGGCCTCCGTCTGCAGCGTCTCCGAGGTGCCGCTACGGGAGCCCAGAGCAGGGCAGTTGCACAGGCGGGCGGGAGTTAGTTAAGGCCTGTCCG